TAGGTTGATGGTTGATTGTTGGACCAGGATTTTATGTAAACTTTGTCATTTGACTAAAGAGGAAAGAGGAGACCGACTTTTTTCACCAGTTTTTCACCGTCTTTTCACCGTATTGTCCGCCATATTGTCCACCACTCAATCCAACACAAGAAAAGTTTCTTCTAAAAGTGATGTTTGATTTAGCTGATTTGGTAGATGTATTGGATTGGGCGGTGGACAATACCGTGAAAAGACGGTTAGCATGGGTGGCTAAAAGAAATTTACGATCAGTCATGATCGTGTCTCAGCTTGTACAATATAAAGTCAAAGTATCAAATTTTTGCGTAAAAATTGTGGCCAAACCGAGTGGGTTCTAAGAAAAAAAATTACGCAGCGTAAAAGCCCTAATGCAACTACAACGACGCAAATAGGAAACCTCACCTCAGAATTCAGATCTCTGAGAAATTCATGAAAATAGAGGCTGGGGGCAAAAATGTAGAATCCGTATTCAATAACATTGAGAGAGGGGGAAAAACTTTTCGTTATTTAGGTTGATGGTTGATTGTTGGACCAGGATTTTATGTAAACTTTGTCATTTGACTAAAGAGGAAAGAGGAGACCGACTTTTTTCACCAGTTTTTCACCGTCTTTTCACCGTATTGTCCGCCATATTGTCCACCACTCAATCCAACACAAGAAAAGTTTCTTCTAAAAGTGATGTTTGACTTAGCTGATTGGTAGATGTATTGGATTGGCGGTGGACAATACCGTGAAAAGACGGTTAGCATGGGTGCTAAAAGAAATTTACGATCAGTCATGATCGTGTCTCAGCTTGTACAATATAAAGTCAAAGTATCAAATTTTTGCGTAAAAATTGTGGCCAAACCGAGTGGGTTCTAAGAAAAAAAATTACGCAGCGTAAAAGCCCTAATGCAACTACAACGACGCAAAATAGGAAACCTCACCTCAGAATTCAGATCTCTGAGAAATTCATGAAAATAGAGGCTGGGGGCAAAAATGTAGAATCCGTATCCAATAACATTGAGAAAGGGGAAAAAACTTTTTTGTTCAGGTTGATGGTTGATTGTTGGAACAGGTTTTTATGTAAAACTTGTTGGTTTCAATGAATTTTTACTCGATGACTTTAGTCAAACATTTAATTTAAACATCAATTCAATTTAATACATTAAAACATTACTTCGCGTTAAATAACAAGAAACACAAAAAGAGACGAAAATGTTGCTTCCAATGCAACTCACAAAACTGGACTAACTGTTGGTTATTTTTTATCTTACTTATAAGAGTGAGAAAACGGTTATGAATGTCAATGTTTTGTTAAAGGAAAATTTCCAAGAAATTATGAAAAGAGATGAAACAGAGAAAAGCATCAAATTATCCTTTTAAGTGAAAATTAATGATCATTACATGGTTAAGTCAAAGTACAGTTAAATGTGTTTAGCATTGGTTTGAGTCAGAGACAATTAGTGTGGTTTTAATTGTTAAATTAAAGATCATGTTATGTTTTGGAAGACAGAAAGATGACTCTGATTTCATTGTTAATTGAGTCTTTTTGACTTTAATAATATATGGTTAGAAAGTGAATGAAATGAGCTTTCTAACGATGTCTTCATCATATCTCTAGTTGGTTTGTTTGAGGAGAAATAAGTTGATCTTTGATTACTTATTTAATGATTAAAGATTGAGATTTTATATTTTAACCGTTCATAACATGAGAACGCATCAAGTTAAAGATATGAATAATATACTAATGAAGAGCTCTTAAGTAGCTCTCAGCAACGGAACATTAATCATAGTTCCATCATGAGTAATTATGATCATGGACATGATGGCTCAGAATTCAGTTTTAGTGATGAAAAGTTAAATTTGAAAATCATGGTAACCTTGGCATATGCTGAGTTAGTGACATGTTATTGATGTATGGTGAGTTAGATCTTGTTTATAATGAACTAACTGGTCTATTTCAACCAACAAAACTTTGTCATTTGAGTAAAGAGTAAAGAGGGGACCGGCTTTTTCACCATTTTTTTACCGTCTTTTCACCATATTGTCCACCACTCAATCCAACACATCTACCAAATAAACAAAATCAAACTACATCACTTTTTACAGAAACTTTTCTCAACAAAATTGTCCATCACTTTAGAGGGGCTTTTTTCCACCACTTTATTCCGCCACATTTTCAGACAAATTTTTAGAAGATTATCTACCACCCAGAACTCAGATTCTTGAGAAAATTATTTTCATTTTTATTCTTTTTAATTAACCATCTTGACCACTTTTCATCATCTAGCACATCCCCTATTAACCACCATCATATCCCGAAAAGTTTATTTTTTGTTCTGGAAAGATCACAATCAAACCCGTCCAATAAAGCTCGATGGGTGAACTTGGTAAAAAGAACATGTTGTGGACTGAAGAAATAGTTATTGAACTATTTTTTTGATGAAAACAGATGCTCTAGGTCCTGAACAATAAATTGACTCCATAAAACATTTCGATTCTGTAGCAAAAAGGATTTTGCTGAGTTGAGCTCAAGATACTTCCATGAATTCGACTGTACGGGGATGAATGACCTTTTTTAAGAGGCCATTGAATATAACCTTGATTGATAACCTAAAAATTTTAATTTTAACCTTAATTAAAATGCACAATCTTTCCAATGATACCATGCAACCCATATTCGTGGAACAATTTTCCTTTGCAAAAGCTCTCAACAACATGAGTTTTCCAAAGTTTACAAATGTCGATGAAGCGTTTTTCTCAGTGCCGTAGAAAACATGGCACAAATTAAATTTCATGTCATGAAATTGCTATGCACCCTAGCCTTTAGACATGTTCTCCAGCTATATTTTCTGCTTCTCTTAGAGTAGAAAATGTGAGTCAAAAAGTAGCTTTTTGCTTCGAAGTCCCCTGATTGGTACCTGATTGACCTATCGTTCTAGATTAGTAGCCTAAGAATGTGGACGAAGAGATTTACTTACATAGTTACCATGAATGATCTGAAAAACATACGAAACCCCGGGACTTTTTGATACCCCTAATATTATCATTGATACACTCAGTAGTTATTCTCCAAAAAAATCATACCCTTAACCATCTTCTCCCTCGGTACTCGCGTGAAGCTTAGTATTTAAAAGAAACTTTAAAAATTGTGACGAGCATTCTGGTAATTAACGATTAAATAGCTCGTTACAAACTTTATTTCAAATCAACCCTTAACTCGCACATCACAATATAAAAGAGAGGGAAAATTGAAAAGAGTTAAGTTAGCGAAAGGGAAGCTGACCACATCACGATTGATTTGTGTTGTGATTTGCTTGTATCCTCTTAGTTAACAAAAAGATAGAACTCAAGCGTGCCCAGAATAATCGAATCAGTTTGTTTTAGCTAAAGCTCATAACGTTGGTCAGAATACTCATAGAAAAACAACCCTACAACGGGAACTATACGACAGGGTTGGAAATTGGGTAAAAATTATGAAGCATTTATACGGCTGCATCTTACATTAATCTTAAGACGTGGTTTGGAGGTATAAGATAAGTGACTGTGGCGTTGAAATTAGAACGATTTTCCCTCCCAGACTTTTATCTATTTTTGATTTCTTGAAAAGAAAATGTAAGCGGAAGTAAAAAGTCAACCAGATAGAAGGAGACTTATAAAGATAACCTCTTCTAGCACTTCAAAATATTGATGGCATATTTGTTTCTGTAATTGCTTTTGAAATGGTTTCCTCTATCGCCTCATTTAGTAGCAAAAATAACCCCTTCTTGGCTTTTGCAGTTAAAAGTCTCAACTGTTCAATTTTAACCATCAACCTGTAATGATTGTCCGAGGCTTCATAATCAGATTCGAAAATTGTCCCCAAATAACGTCGAAGTAAATAAATATACGAGAATTGTTCATGTCTGTGAAAAGATGTAATAATATTAAACTTCTACGGAGTAAAAATAGCAGACTTATTATGAAAAATCAATTTGAACAAACCTGATTATTTCGGGATGTTTCAATCCAGATATGTCGCCATTGAAAATAATGATTAGATACATGAGAATAATGACATTTATATCATTTCTAAATTGATCGGGAAAGGTTTCGATTACATGAACAACGGCATCGTGTGCGAATGGATTAAAGAGAAATGCATCACGTCGATCAAATTTGAAATCAGATGCTGGAGCCTGAGTAACGAAATAAACCAATCAGTTGGTATAAAAGGTATATAAATACAATATGCATTATTAAAAGGTCAAAAGCTAAGGTTACTTACATCCCAGCCGTCAATTGTCGGATCATAGTTAACAATACCGTCCATTGCGTGAAGATGATAATATATGTTGGATAAAAGAGTTATTTTATCGCTGGTCTCGATTTTTCTGAAGCTTTTGATACCATTACATATTGCAATGAGCTTATCTGGACTTGCTTTCGCTCGCCTCCTGTCATTTAAATTTGCAAGCAAATTCATGCATTTCTCACCCTTAAAAGCGGCACAAGCTTCATCCATTAATAGTGTTTCATATCCATTTAGTTTAGTATCATCAGATAAATATTCAGCTTTCAAACTTAATGAAGAAAAGGAAACAGACAGAATTTTTTGACTAACATCAGGATTCCAGGGCTCATCAACTTCACTGTTATCCGTGTTTAGCGATAAGCTCAATTTATATCCACGTTTAACGAGTGCGATAAAATTCAATTTCAGATTATCGTAAGTGTTGTGAATCTTGGACTGGTAAAGAGACTCGACGGCCAGTGGATCAGTAGATATGTATGACGAGATAGGAGTTGGAACTGGATCTGTTTAATGGGACGGGTAATGATAAGAGATAACCTGCAAAGGGCCATGAGAAGCAATCTCAAATGGTAAAACAATACGTTAACTCACTCAAATTTTCAATAGCGTACAAGATATCGGATGGGTTAGTCCAATCATTAGAACTGGGCCGATTTTCTATTGATGAATCAAAAAACTGTTGTGCTAAATTGTTATGATTATCCAATTGATCACCATCAAGTAAATAACTGCTAACAGTATCTTCATCGGAACAAAAGGCCTCCAGAAGAGCTAGGCTTTGGTTTGAAAATAAAGGTTGAGGTAATGGTTGAGCAGCTAAAGTGTCCCATTGCGATACATAATCTGTATCCAGTGTTGGTGAATTCAAAGACGATTGAAAGAATGAAATAAATTGATCGGAATCCATCGCTGCACAATGATAATCTCAAACACTTAAAAAATATCAGAAAACGTTAATGACTAATGCATCACAGATGATTCTTTTGTTTTAAAAAATTGTTAGGTAAATATTTCTTTTATTCAATCATAAAATGCTATCATACAGTATATTGTTTGCGTTACAATTATTGTTAAAATATTATCTCTTAATGATAAAATGGTAGATTAGGTTAAAATCTGCTCTATTTTTGCCAAATAATATTGCAAGAAACTGTTTGCATACCTGTCGTAGAATAATTTTTAGCTGATGCCCTGGTGTCTATCTGAAATTCATTTATTGAAAGTGTTGGTTCGAGGCGAACTTTTTTATTTAATGCAAAGAAAAGGTTACAAATCGATAACTCTTACATCACGACTGTTGTGTTGAGTTAAGGTTAAAACTCTTTTTAAGTAAAAATTTAAAGCACAATAGCCAATCCCATAATTCAGAATGGTTTTAAACATATATCAATCGAAAGCTTATGATAAGTAGAGTAAAAATCAGGTAAAAATTCGCATTACCTAGAGAGTTATTCACAAATCCTATGGAACCCAATACAGGTCCCATCAGACCTAACTTTTCAGATAGAAATTTCATTCTGATTGCTTCTATTACAATTGTGTCTCATGAAGAACGCAAAACAAGAAAAATACTAGGGAAAAAACAAACTCAAAACACTAAAAAACTCTACTAGAAGGTCCATTTCACAAGAAATATGAGAAAAAAATTGATAATCTTAACCAAATACTGATTAAAGTCTCTATGCAAAAATCGTTTGGCTACTGTACAAGCTGAATTTTTCCTCCTAATTTTGGAAACTACACACTTTAAAGATAAATTAATTTATGAAATCAGCATACAGCACTGCATTACAATCTGTTTGAAAATGAGAATAGACCATTTTTTTAATCCTCATAATTCTCTTGATTTAATCAAGCAGAATAAACTTAAAGGTAGAGTTAATGTACAAATTTTTACAATATATTTCAGCTGAAATATTTTGCGGGAGGATTTTAGGTACTCCAGTGTAATAGCTTTTGTTATTGTTTCCACCAAAGGCTCATTTATTAGAAGAAAAAATTTCTTCTCAGATTTTGCAGCTATAAGTCTCAACTGTTCAATTTTAGCCATCAACCTGTAATGATTGTCTGAAGCTTCACAATCAGATTCACAAACGGTTCGCAAGTAACATCTAAGTAAATTAATATATGAGAATTGTTGATATCTGTAAAAAGAGGTAAAAATGTCAAACTTACATGAACCGCAAAAGACATTTAACAAAAGAGTAACATCAATTTGAACGAACCTGATCATTTCGGGATGTTTCAATCCGGTTATGTCACCATTGAAAATAACGATTAGATACATGAGAATAATGGCATTGATATCGTTTCTGAATCGATCGGGAAAGGTTTCGATTACGTAATTAAGTCCATCATGAAAAGATTGACTGAAGAGAAACGTGTCTCGTCGATCATATCTGTAATCAGATGTTGGATACTTTAATAAAAAACCAACCGATTAATGGATTAATACAATACCAATAAAGAAATGGTCAAGTGCATTATCGATACTTACATCCCAGCCGTCAATTGTCGGATCGTAGTTAATAACAGCGTCCATAATGTGAAGATGATAATATATGTTGGATAGCAGAATCATTTTATCGATGGTTTCAATTTTTCTGAATCCTTTAATTCCATTACATATTGAAATAAGTTTATCTGGACTGGCTTTTGATCGCGTCCTGTCATACAAATTTGCAAATAAATTCAAGCATTTCCTACCCTTAAATGCGGAACACGCTTCATTCATCAAAATTGATTGAAACCCATCTAGTTTTGCATCATTGGACAAGTATTCATTTCTCAAACTCAATGAAGAAAAATAAACAGACAGGATTTTTTGACCAACATCAGGATTCCATGGCTCATCAATTTCACTATTATCCGTGTTTAATGACAAGCTCAATTTGTATCCACGTTTAATGAGAAATATAAAATTCAATTTTAGATCATTGTAATTGGGGTACAGGAGAAGAGAATCAACGGCCAGTGGATCAGTAGATAAGTATGATGAAATAGGAACTGGAACTGGAGCTGGTTATTAATGAAATGTGTCATGATAAGAGATAGCCTCAAAAATTAACCTTAGCAAGATGAACTTACATAGGTTTTCAATAATACTCATGCGATCGGAGGGTTTGTTTGGGTCAGTGGAATTGGGACAATGTTGCATGAAAGAATTAAGATTTCTTATTAGTGAAGCAAAAAATTGTTGTCCTTCATTGTTGTAGTTATTCAAATCATCATTTTGTAGATAGATTTTAACAGTATCTTCATCGGAACAAAAGGCTTTCAAAAGAGCTAGACTTCGTTTTGGATATGAAGGCCTAGGTAATGGTTGAACAGCTAAAGTATCACATTGTGAAGAATGGTCTGTATCCAATGTGGACGAATCTATAATAAAAATGATATAATAATTAAATTGTTTGATAAAAAATCCATCTTTTGGCATTCATAATAATCTCAAAATCATGGAAAGGGTCACATGACTTACTTATGCTTTCAATAGCGTACAAGCTATCTGATGGGTTGTTGCAATCATTAGAGCTGAACCAATTCTCTATTGATGAATCAAAAAACTGTTGCCCTTCATTGCTTTGATTATTAAATTCACCAATATCAAGTAAGTTACTTTGAACAGTATCTGCATCGGAACAACAAGTGTCTAAAAGGGAAAGAGTTTCGTTCGGATATGAAGGCTGAGGTAATGGTAGAGCAGCTGAAGTGTCACTTTGTAAAGCATAATCAGTATCCAGTGTTGGTGAATCTAATGATTCAAGATATGAAATTAAATCCATTTTTGCACACCAATAAATAACTCAACACTTAAATGAAGCATCAAAAAACATTAAAGATCAATTAATCACAGATGAATTTCTTTACTCTTAAAAAATTGTTAGGTGAACATTTTCCATCATGTAATGTAATACTATCTATCGTTGTTTGCGATACAATTATTATTTTATCTTATTTTATCATACAACTTCATTTACTTCACGTTTTGTTTGATATCTCACGAACCCAATAAAGTAACCTGGTAGATAATGGAACTCACTGAAAATAGCTTATTTTCACTATTTGTCAGTCAGCATGATTGATAATGGGGCCAATTTTTTTCCACCGCTTTATCCAGACATTTTCAAACTATTTTTTATAAGATTATCCACCACCCAAATCCAACTGTTGACCACTTTTGGGATATGATGGCGATTAATAGTGGATGTGTTAGATGGTGTAAAAGTGGTCAACAATTTGGTGGATTTGGTTGCGGATAATCTTATAAAAAATTGTTTGAAAATGTGGTGGAGAAAAGCCCTTCTAAAGTGGTGGATGAAAGTGGGTGACAATTTAGTGAACAATTTTGTTGAGAAAAGTTTCTTTAAAAAGTGATGATGTTTGATTTGGTTGATTTGGTGGATGTGTTAGATTGGGTGTCGGACAATACGGCGAAAAGACGGTAAAAAAAGTAGTAAATAAAAGTGGTGGAAAAAAGCTGGTCCCTTGATAATCTCTCTTGTTAGATCGAATTTAACCGTAAATATTAATATTTTCGGATGGTTTTGTGACGTTTTTATGCATAATTTAAAAGAAAATTTAACTCACAAGGGAAGTGACCTTGCTTGTACGATTGTTCTCAATTTTTTTCGGATTTATATTCTAGAGGTCGAAAAATAATTGACACATATTTTTTCACGTTTGTGCGTGGTTATTGTTAGTCATCTTAATTAAAGGTAGTAATGCGTTGCAGTCAATGAGAAGCACATAATAAAACAAATGAAAAGCAGAAAAATGAAAAAATTTGTTATTGTGATATCATTGATTGATAAAATTGATAATTAAAGAAATCAAGACAATTGGTGTGATTGAATTGAATTAAATATTCTCTGACTCGGGATCATTGGTGAAATTAGTTCCGTTATCTGGTAATCCAATCATTTCACAGGTTACTGAATGTTAGGCTAATCATATAGACACTGTGTGCTCTACAAAATTGGAGAGCCATACATGCTAAGCCTCAAGGTCATTTGTCTAGAAGACTTTGCGACGAATTTAACGCCATTTTTGGATGAAAAATTTGATTTAGCGCCAGATGATTTCGCAGTCAAAGTCATAGCTTGCCTAATTATACGTTATTCACATTTTCAAAAATTATTTCAGTTCAAATCTGAATTTTTATTTTTAGTATCTATACATCTATACTCTATACATACATATTACAATACAATATACAGTTTTCCCCAGAGTTTTTTGCTTTTTTGTTACACTGCCATCTAGGTGAACTACAAGGGAAAACCACGAATTTTACAGTTTAAACAATTAAACTCTTTAATTGACATCCCCTTATAGGGAGAGGACTCCTCAAAGGGAGCAAAAATTATTTCAGTTCAAATCTGAATTTTTTATTTTTAGTATTAGTTTTCAATGGAAGAAATATCCAACTTTGAGCCTGAACTTGAGTATGAAAACATTGAGCAAAATCATAATCCGATCATTAGAAATCGGATGACATATCGGGTCAAATTTCTATTTATAGCCATTCCTGAGCAATCGGCCTCTGAATGTCGTTATATTAGCATTGATAACGATTGATTTGTGTTTAAATTTAGCTTGTATCCTCTTAGCTAACAAAAAGATAGGACTCAAGCGTGTCAAACATCATCGAATCAGTTTGTTGACAGCTCAAAACTTTGGTCATAAGACTCATAGATAAACCTCCCTACAACCCGAACTTTGCGACAATATTGAAAATTGGGTAAAACTTATGAAGCATTTATACGACTGCATCTTAAATAAATCATGCGACGTGGCTCGGAGTTAATCAGATAAATGACTGTGGCGTTTAAATTTAGAAACGATCTTCCCTCCTAGACTTTTATCTATTTTGGATTTCTTGAAAAGTAAATGTAAGCGGAAATCAAAAGTCAACCAGATATAAGGAGACTTATCAGGATACGAATTGAAGTTTGATTTCATTCAACTTCTTCTAGCTCTTCAAAATATTGACGGCATATTTGCTTCTGTAATTGCTTTTGAAATGGTTTCCTCTATCGGCTCATTTAGTAGCAGAAATAACTCCTTCTTGGCTTTTGCAGTTAAAAGTCTCAACTGCTCAATTTTAGCCATCAACCTGTAATGATTGTCCGAGGCTTCACAATCAGATTCGAAAATTGTCCCCAAATAACGTCGAAGTAAATAAATATACGAAAATTGTTCATGTCTGTGAAAGATGTAAAAATATTAAACTTCTACGGAGTAAAAATAGCAGACTTATTATGAAAAATCGATTTGAACAAACCTGATTATTTCGGGATGTTTCAATCCAGATATGTCGCCATTGAAAATAATGATTAGATACATGAGAATAATGACATTTATATCATTTCTAAATTGATCGGGAAAGGTTTCGATTACATGAACAATGGCATCGTGTAAGAATGGATTAAAGAGAAATGCATCACGTCGATCAAATTTGAAATCAGATGCTGGAGCCTGAGTAACGAAATAAACCAATCAGTTGGTATAAAAGGTATATAAATACAATATGCATTATTAAAAGGTCAAAAGCTAAGGTTACTTACATCCCAGCCGTCAATTGTCGGATCATAGTTAACAATACCGTCCATTGCGTGAAGATGATAATATATGTTGGATAAAAGAGTTATTTTATCGCTGGTCTCGATTTTTCTGAAGCTTTTGATACCATTACATATTGCAATGAGCTTATCTGGACTTGCTTTCGCTCGCCTCCTGTCATTTAAATTTGCAAGCAAATTCATGCATTTCTGACCCTTAAAAGCGGCACAAGCTTCATCCATTAATAGTGTTTCATATCCATTCAGTTTAGTATCATCAGATAAATATTCACTTTTCAAACTCAATGAAGAAAAATAAACAGACAGAATTTTTTGACTAACATCAGGATTCCATGGCTCATCAACTTCACTATTGTCCGTGTTTAGTGACAGGCTCAATTTATATCCACGTTTAACGAGTGCGATAAAATTCAATTTCAGATTATCGTAAGTGTTGTGAGTCCTGGACTGGTATAGAAGATCGATGGCCAGTGGATCAGTAGATTCGTATGATGAGATAGAAGTTGGAACTGGAGCTGGTTATTAATGAAATGTGTCATGATAAGAGATAACCTTGAAAATCAACTTTAATAAGATGAACTTACATAAGGTCTCAGTAGTAGCCAGGCTATTGGATGGGCTTTTCGGGTCATTAAAGCTGGACCAATTTTCTGCGAAAGAATCAAGAGTTCCTTTTGGTAAATTAAGCATTTTTTGTCCTGTATTGTTATGACTATTCAATTGATCATCAGCTATTAAGTAACTTTTAACAGTATCTTCATCGGAACAAACAGCTTTCAAAAGAGCTAAGCTTTGGTTTGAACATGGAGATTGAGGTAATGGTTGAACTGTTAAAGTGTCACATTGCGAAGCATAATCTGTATTCAGTGTTGGTAAATCTAAAGATGATTGAAGGAATGAAAAAAATTGATCGAAATCCATCTTTTCACCGCAATAATTCACTCAAACATTAAGATTAACAAAATCATTACAAACTCATGAACCCCAGGTGATTCTTTTTGCTCTGAAAAATTGCAGGATTAATATATTTCTCCCTTTATCTTCACCTAATTGTAACCGTGTTCATTAGTATCTTTGCTTATTTGCTCTTTTATCTCAATCAGATATTTCATGAGGGTTGCTCCAAATAAATATGATAGCTAATAGGATGTTCATGCATGTGTTAAATCACTACATTGAAGATATTCTGAAATCGAAATTTGGTCAACTCAACTTCATTTTTTGCAACAATCGAACAATCAAATCAATTAAATCTTATTATTATTAATATGCTATAATTTTTGAGATCATCTCTCCATTGGTCTGGAAAGTTTTCAATTATTTGTTCAATATTATTGTAAAGCCGTCTGATTAAACTTATCTTATGCAACTATGAAACTGAATGCAAAGTGAAAATAGAGAGCAAATGTTGAAAAGGTTGGAGCAATTATTAGTTTGATTACTTACTTGTCAACCATCAATTGTTAAATTATAGTTGATTATTACCTTCGTGATGGAAAGATCATAAAATGTGTTTGCGAAAACCAGAATTACATCTTGCAAGTTTCCTGAAAAGCAACTCAATTTTTTTTCAAAATAACTTCATTTTCTCTTAGACCATTGAAAATGTTAAGGAAGTCAGTTTGATGAAAAATCTGACTCCACAATTGTACAAAAGGCACTGCTCAACAATGGCCCTTCGATTTACGGATAAGTTAGGATGAAGTAATAGAAGCATTTGATTCACAAATATCCACAAAAAATAATGATATTTATTAATACTAATAAATATTCAGTGAGTTTCAATCTGCTGCACAGATTTAGTTATCTTGAAGCGTAGATACAACATCAATGACAGTTGGTTTCAATGGATTACATTACAAACTGTAACATTTATCAAATATAACTTCTCTTCCAAGTAATGT